GGATTCTAGGAGCTGTTTTCCGGATTTCAAAGCCCGGGTTTCCGGATTCCAAAGCAAAAATTTAATGCAATCTGGATTCCAGATAAAAAATTTCGAGGATTCTTGAAGGGCCGTGTCGAGTCAAAAACAAGCCACAGACTATTCGTGCAATCGCACGAATAGAGCGAGAGCCCCATAAATCAACATGCTGGAAAGTTTCATGCTGACTTTCTGAGACGCTATTTTGTCGTTTGGCAACTTATATTATCTCAAGTCCCCAAAGACTGTCCATTCGTAAAATTCAAACGGTAGGAACACTTCGCTGCAGTTGCAAAGCCCCTCATATCATTTAAAGATTTTTGAAGTCTCCAATAAAATCCATTTCCGTTTACTAACAACTCATTCTTCCCTTTTGACAATGATTTTGCCTACTTATGGAACCGATATGTAGGAGTCGACGGCTCACTGTATGGCCCTTTATGCTTGGCAATTTCCAGCTCTCTTCAATGAGATACACTTTTCCGTGTGACAAATTAAGTCACTCTGCCGGATTCTTTGGAGTAGAAAATGATTCTATCCATTCGTAAGACACGTGCGAACCGACAATTTTTTGTAGGGCCCTTTACAATTCTCTTAGATAAGATACATTTTTCGGTTCGAAAACTAATTCTTTCGAATAGACGATTACTTTTTCTGTTCATCCTGGGCTCGTACCGTGAATAGACAACTATGTTGCAGGTCCCTGTAAGCTTGACAGTTTTTTCCCACCGAACTCTCTCAAATGAGAAAGACCACCAATCGAAATCTTTGACAGTTACCTGTGGAACAGTGCATAACAAACAGCAACAAACAATACATAACCTTCAAGACTTACTGGGTGGAACAGGCAAACTGGTCCTCAAGAATGTCGAGGGTATCACTGTGTAATTTGTCCCGTCAGGTGCCTGCATTCCAACTTCTAAGTGATCATTTTGATGATCGTCTTTCATTATCGTTTCCATGTAATAATATTTTCCCTTCACCAGAGGAATAGGAAGTGATATTTGGTTCTCATACCTATATAGATTTATACATATAACGTTGATTATATTACTGGTTATCCCCGAAATGGTCCTTTATTTAATCCCATCAGTAAAACTAAAAGCTCACTCTGTATTAGCCTGTTTACAGCGGCCCACTTACCCCCAGACATAATAGAGGAGAGAGTGTGTGTGTGTCTGTGTGGGGGGGGGGGTTAACTTTATACCTGCCTCTTAAGAGACCAAGAGGCTCTTAAATTAATATCATCAGAGAACATATAAATTCCCGGAGTAGTCAATCGATAAAAATCGGTATCAATTTATTAATCGATAAATCGATAAAAATCGGTTAATCTGATTTGATTGATATCTATTGTATCGATCAATCGGTAGAAATCGATGACACACTTGTTTCGTTTATCGATTTATTTCGGAAGATAGATCTGTTCTTCTGTTCATCCAAAAATGAAAACTAATTTCATGCAAACAGTGAATTTGCTGACGATAGAGTTGCAATTGAGAGTCGAAGGATCAAACAATTTATCACTTTTTTTAATAGAAATTTTTAAAAAATCTTATCTTTTCTTTAAACTCGCTTTAAAGTAATCTTCTGACTGCCGATATTGGCCAGGTTTGTAGGCGCCCAGTTTTTTCACGATTTAGATCTGCCACCCTTTCAAAATAACATCAGTTCCGGGTGTAGTTACTTGCCGGAGTAGTCAATAGATAAAAATCGAATCGATAAAAATCGTTAGCGATCAAGTGATTTTATCGAATAATAACGGAAAACGGTGAAAAGCTATCTAGGGAAATCTTTTAGCCTGAATTTCAGGCATCCCTTTGACCCTAGAGGATGTCTGAAATTCAGGCTTGGAAATCTTTTATCTAAGGTTGTATTTCTCGTTTTACTTGCCTGCGAGAACTACGAATGTAATTAAACCTAACAGTTTTTGTTATTCTGTACCAATGGATCTCGGTTTTAGAGAGAATTTTGAGTCTGTAATAGTTTCCACATTTCATATTGTCGAGTTTGTTGATCAGTTGTTACTCATGGATGTGTTTTCTCAGCTGTACTAATTAACCTATGCCAAAAAACAAGAAGGTCGGACTTACCGTTATAAATCGTTAAAATCATGAAAAATCGATACTATCGATTTGACACAGCAATTTAGTTTATCGATTTTCAGCGATTTCCGTTATCAAACGATAAATCGATTTTATCGATTGACTACTCCGGGATAAATTTATTGTACATGTATGAATTCCGTTAACTGCCGCTCAAAAGCAACCACCCCCCGCCTTTCCCACTCACTCTGTATAAGCCCGTCTAACAGAATGGAGCTTTAGAAACGACGAAGACGACGATGACGTCAGCAAAAACGTCGCTATTAAAGAGACTGCGCTTTTTTTCAGACTTTGTTGCGGTCACTCCAACTCGTCCATGCCATTTCTCGGTGAATTTCCCTGGAATTGAATTCTTAGAGACCAACACTAACTTTAAAAAAGAGAAAGAGAAATTCGTCGTCCTAAGTTTGCGTCCTCCATAAAACGTGGCATATAAAGAATTTCACCCCGTACTCGTGCAGTGAAAGCAACGAAATGTACAGAAAAAGCGAGATGCACGTGCAGAGTTGCTGTTTTGCTTATTAACCTACTGCCTTTTTGCCGTTCTCGTTGCCGTCGCTGTCGTCTTTGCTACGGCTCCATAGAATCGGGATTTGAGAGAGGAGGGAGAGGCCGTACACAGGCTAACCCGGCACTGGCGAGGTGCTTTTTATCCGCTTTTCTTGATCGGGAGCAAAAGTTTATTAAAGCGTCTTTTGGGTGATCAATATGTACTCACCTGTTCGAAGACCAAGGGGCTCGTAGATCAATTAAGACTAATGTTACTCTTGTTTCGATATATTAAAATTCATTCCTGTCTCTTAAGATCCAGGGATGAGTAAATATGACTTTTTAATTTTTATCCTCTTAACACTTTACTGTGTTCGGTACGCTGTTTTCGGCAAAAAGAAACTGAAGTCTAGATATCGTGCCGTAATTCTTTCGTAAGAGGGTGCCCACTAATGGGAAGTATTTTTTTCCCAGATAATGACTATGTGAGACAAGTAGATCATATCAGGGGCTATTGAAATCCAAAAAGAAAACTGGGGGTAACCACGCATTTTTCAGAGATAACTGCGCTTCAATATGGAGAAAAACGCTGAATAGGCATTTTTTAGAAAAATGATAAGAAGTTATTTTTTTCCCCAAATTTCAGAGTGTACACGTGAACTGGCACAAACGCAATGATAATTGTAACAAAGTTTCAAAATAAGCAACAAATGATAACATAACAAACTGCTCTTTGTACGTCTTTTTTTGAAATATCAGCACAGCTGGGAAGTAATCAGCAGTTACCCCTCTCCACGCTTTTGCCTCAAAAAAAGTGTAAACAACATTTTCCCCGAACCAAAAATTGATCATTTGCTGAGAAGGCTTATTACTTTCATTTGGTAAGATAAAACGTAGGGGTTACCACGCGTTTTAAGATGTAAAGGTGGATGAACACAGTTTTTGCAGTTTGTGAGTATGTCATTTACCAAATCATGTCAAGAGAAAGGTTGCAGCTCACAAGCTTAAACTTGGCAAGTGAATAATAAACTGATGAAAAATTTTGATTGACACGAAAAATTTGACGTTTTCATAAATTTCCATGGCAACGTGAACGATTCAATACAACTTTAAAATTTCACTTTTGCTCAGTTTACATAAAATTCGCTCATTAGATTTTCCTATAAACTTGCACACAGCTTACTACAATTAAGGTGGCTCCGTCATTAATATTAGAGCATTTTGCTGTGACAAATTTTCCGTCATGACTTTTTCGTTTTTAGAACGATGGCTGCGAAACTTTGCAAAGAACATCAGATATCATTCGGCAATAGTACGAAATATTCCGATTTCATTGATGGTAAATATTTCTCGAGAAATTAGCGCTTAAAAGGACCCTAGTGCTCAAAGAAAATCACGTCTAGTAAAAAATTTTGCTGATATTTTTTACTGAAATTTCTGGTGTCGGCTTTAATTGATATAATAAATATGCCGGAGAAATTTCAGAAAAATCGTTGGAGCAGAAGTCCGTAACTAAAAGTCGCTCAAAATTCAGCTGCGACATTGTTTTGGAATTTCAAAAATAAATTACGATCATGTAGAAGGAGCCACCAGTTCGAATTTTCGGGACAGCTAAATTCAGTGTTTGCTAAAAATGAAAACAAAAGCTGATGGCCGATCGTGGTATTCTTTAAAAGGTACTTTTTAGTTTTAGAAGCATTATAAATTGCTCCAAACCTTGCTCTGACGTCGAATGACTTGTTCCTCGACATTTTTAAAATATCTCTTAGCAGTTTTGGTTCAAACGCCTGCTACATACATTTTGCTGAATTGCAAGGCATCCTCAACGGATTTTTCTGCTGATCGTTGCTTCCAATTCAGGAAAAAGGTATTGGGATTGTAAGCTCAGATAGAACTGTCCAGCACCTTTGTTTATGACCAGAAAATGCGCACGAGCGGCAGCTCTGCGAGGAATTCGCACCTCAGCCAGGTGGGACGAATGACAATGAAGCCCATGTCTATGAGCCGATCTGTATAAACATGTATTGTAGAGCAAAACATGATAATCAAGAAAAAACTACCTATTCATTGAAGGAAGGAGTAACAGAAATTTCAGAGTTGTAAATTTATTCACGGGCATTATTTTTGCGATAATTCTATTTGGCACTGTGATGTAATTCGGTTTACAGGATTGGGCATCATTGTCGTTCTTCCCCCCTGGGTGAGGTGCGAATTCTTCGCAGAAATGCCACTCGTGCTCATTTTGTAGTCATAAACAAAGGTGCTGGACAGTTCTATGTGAGCTCTGATACGAGGTAGCGTCCAATCTCAATACATTTTTCCTGAGTTGGAAGCAACGAATAGCAGTAAAAGTCGTTGAAAATGCATTGCAATACATCAAAATATATGCAGCAGGAGTTTTAGCCAAAACTGCCAAGAGATACCGTAAAATTCCGAAAATAAGCCCCTCCAAATATAACCCCCCCCCCCAAACTCGTAACGCAAAAAAACCCTCCGTTAAATCGGCTCTCCAAGTATAAGCCCCCAGGGGGCTTGTACTTGGAAATTGCCCTCAAACACAAAGTAAAACAAAGCAAATACGGTAACTTTACTTCCAACTGTAAGGCTAGCCCAATCGATTTTGAAACACAAATTTCCCTCCATAGATAAGCCCCTCCGAATATAAGCCCCCCAAAAATAAGCCCCTCAAAAAGGGCCTTTGAAAAATATAAGCCCCGGGGCTTATTTTCGGAATTTTACGTTATTTTAAAAATGTCGAGGAACAAGTCATTCAACTTCAGAGCAAGGTTTGGAGCAATTCATAGTGCTTCTAAAACTAAAAAGTACCTTTTAAAGAATAGCACGGTAGGCAATCGGCTTTTTGTTTTCAGAATTAGCAAACATTGAATTTATTTGTCCCGAAAATTCAAACTGGTGGCTCCTACTACCTGATAGTAATTTATTTTTGAAATTCCAAAACAATTTCACAGCTGAATTTTGAGCGACTTTTAGTTACGGACTTCTGCTCCAACTATTTTTCTGGAATTCTTCTGGCATATTTATTATGTCAATTAAAGCCGATACCAGAAATTTCAGTAAAAAGTATCAGCAAATTTTTTTACTAGACGCGATTTTCTTTGAACAGAAGGGTCCTTTTAAGCGCTAATTTACCAAAATATATAATGAAATCGGAATATTCCATACTACTGCCGGATGATATCTGTTGTTCTTTGCAAAGTTTCTCAGCCATCGCGTTAAAAGCGAAAAAGTTATGACGAAAACTTTGTCACAGCTAAATGCGCCCGTATTAATTACGGAGCCACCTTAATCAATACCATTTGAAACTTATTTGACCAAATTTTAACAGACGGGTTTTTAGATAATCAAAAAATATAATTGTTCTGTAATTATTAAATGTGTCACAAAATTTGTCCGTTCAACTTCCA